CATTTCTTCTTGAAGTCGCTTGTTTCCTCGTTGGCAAATCGTTGGCGTCTGTATCTGTTGTGTTTTCACTGGAGAGTGAATGCTCGTATATTGCCTGCTCAAGCACCTTTTCACCCCTCACCTCCTTCAACCTCTGAGGAGAACCAGCAGCCTGGGAAAGCGGACGCTGTTTCTCCCATCACTGGGCGGGGCTTCTGCCACCCTGTGCCCTAGCGGGAGCCCCACTGTAACAATAGGCCCTGTCTCTCAGGAGGGCTGGCACTGCCCATGGGACCCTGCGGGGAGCCAGCCCCCTTCCTGCCATTTTCTCACCCGTGACCCCTCACTGTCCTTCCAGCTTGTATGGTCCGGGATGAATTCCTAATTGCTCACGCTCTCCTGTTTCTTGTTTCTTTCACTGGCTTGGCATTTGGTGTGGAGGGGGGGAGGGGGGCGCTCTCTTTGGCTTGGTGCTCAGAAGTGACCCCTGGTGGTGTTGGGGTTCCCGCCCGGAGCTGTGCCAGCTGCCTGCACTCTGTCTCCGGCCTGCTGGGCAGAACTCTTGAAGGATTTGGTCTCTTCACGTGCCAGACAGTTTGGAGAAATTGTTCTAGGGGAATATTCATAATAGTCAAATACGTTACGTTTGATTATAACCATTTCGTGTTCTTTTCCCGAGAGGTAGTCCGTGGTATTTTGTTTTGTTTCATTCAGTGTAGCATTGTTGCCCTGGGTATGACCTGACAAATGACAGACTTAGTCTGGGGACTGTCTGCTGGCGTCTCTCCTGGCCCTGAGTCAGCAGGAGGACCCAGCTCTGCTTGTTTGGCGGTGGAGGGAGGGGAGCAGAGCAGATTTTCGACTCCCTCCCCTCCCCTCCCTTCCCCTCCCTTCCCCTCCCTTCCCCTCCCCTGCCTTTCTCTCTCTGAATTTAATCACAGTGAAATACACTGTTACAAGGTTGTTCAAGATTGGGTTTCAGTTGTATGATGTTCTAATACCCATCCCTTCACCAGTGTACATTTCCCACCACCAATGTCCCCAGTTTCCCTCTTGTGCCCCTGTGCCCCTCACCCCCACCCCCGTCTGCCTTGGTGGCAGGCACTCCTCTCTCTCTCTCTCTCTCTCTCTCTCTCTCTCTCTCTCTCTCTCTCTCTCTTCTCCTTTTTCCTTCTCTCCTCTTTCTCTTTCTCTCCCTCAGATAGGAGGAGCAAGCCCAGTCCATCATGTAGGACACTTGCCAGTGAATGTACTTTTTTTTTTCTTTTTGGGTCACACCCGGTGATGCACAGGGGTTACTCCTGGCGGTGCTCAGGCGACCATGTGGGATGCTGGGAATCGAACCTGGGTCGGCCGCGTGCAAGGCAAACGCCCTACCCGCTGTGCTATCTCTCCAGCCCCACCAGTGAATGTACTTTAAAGCTGTGTATGAGGGTCCGGAGAGCTAGTACAGTGGGTAGGGTGTTTGCCTTGCACGCGGCCGACCCAGGTTCGATTCCCAGCATCCCATATAGTCCCTTGAGCACCGCCAGGAGTAACCCTACCTCCTGGGGTCCTACCTCCTGGGGTCGATCCCCAGCATCCCACATGGTCGCCTGAGTACCTCCAGGAGTGATTCCTGAGTGCAGAGCCAGGAGTAACTCATGAGCATTGCCAGGTTTTTCCCCCTCCCTTCTCCCCAAAAAGCTACGTTTCATTTTTATATTCTCCCTCTTCCCTCCTCCACATGTATATATATAAAATATATAGTCACTTTCAGCTGGTTTCTGTTTTTTGTTACAACCTTGACAGATTTCTTTGGGTGATTTCACAACAGCAAGGTTTTCCTTTGTAAAGTATCTTTGTAGCTAAGTAGAGATTTAAAGATTTCACACAAAGAGAGTCTTTGCCGATTTCTGAAGATTGGTTCAAGCCCACCGGTTCTTTGTTTAGGGTTGTGATTGCCCAAGGGGCCACACTGCCTCCTGAGGAGAGGGCCGAGCACTTTCTTTTCCTCACTTCAGAAAAGCAGACTTCTAAAAAGGGGTGGGAGGCCAGGTAAGTTCCTGAATGTTTGGCTCAGGGCATTTTATCCAATCTGCTTTCTTCTAAAACACTTGATCTCAAGTTCCTTCAGTCACTCTGCAGTGTCTTTCTTCGATACCAAATGCAGTCATACACTTGTCTTTTTTAATGCATCCACTACCCAAAAAAAATCTTTTTCCATGGGCCTTGCAGGTTAAAAAAAAACTGTGTGGTGGGGTGGCCAGAGAGATAGGAGAGCAGTTAGGGTGTTTGCCTTTCACAGGGGCAGCCCAGCGTCAATCTCTGTACCCCATATGGTCCCCCAAAGCCTCTCCAGGAACCATTCCTGAGTGCAGAGCCAGGAGTAAGCCTTCAGCACAGCTGGGTGTGACCCAAGAACATAGTAGACTTGTTTTGGACAAGCCTGTCTCCATGAGTGACGGGGGACTCAGTGGCACAGCCAGGACTTTGCCGGGTCACTGGGATTCCCACCCGCTGCATCACTCTAGGAACATTAGAAACATCTTCTGAAAAAATCTTTGCTTTCCCAAAGTAGAAAGAACGGTTTGATTTCAACCAAGTTGTCTGCAAGGAAGCAGGAAGCTCTCTACCGTGTTTTTGAATTTTGACTTTTCTTAAGTATTAAAGTCAGGAAGGAAACAGTGGCTTTTCTGGATTTTCAGATGGGATCTGTTACTATTTCAGATAAATTGGAGACAATTTATTTGCTGACAATAAAACAGATAGAATCCAAGACTATAGCAATTGGATAAAATCTCATTTTTCTCCCTTATTTACAGGGATGGGCTAGAATGATAGCACAGCGGGTAGGACGTTTGTCTTGCATGCAGCCAACATGGCTGACCCGAGTTCAATTCCTCCACCCCTCTCAGAGAGCCGGGCAAGCTACTGAGTGTATCTCGCCCGCACGGCAAAGCCTGGCAAGCTCCCCACGACGTATTCGATATGCCAAACACAGTAACAGCAAGTCTCACAATGGAGACATTACTGGGCCTGCCCTAGCAAATCGATGAACAACGGGAGGAGAGTGACATTTTCAGGGATAGTACTTGACTCCTGGTGTTAAAATAGTGTGAGAAAGTCATGGGTGGAAGAACTCAGGGTGATTTTCCTTCAAATGTCCACGTTTGGGCAGTTTTTTCAAAGTTGCCATGCAGATCCTTCAGCTGTTGAAAGAATTTTTGAAAGCCTGCAATAGAAATGCTCAGTTTCTAAATGGTAAACCCCAGAAGTCTTAAACTGTTAAATCCCTTTCATTTGGGCTAGAATTCTGTGGAAATCACTAGAATCCTGGCTGGCAGGAAATGGGCATATCCGTTTATTTATTTTAGAAAGCCACCATTTGTGTTCAGGGAGAAACTAATGCAGTGACTGGTCTCAGGGGCACTTTTGCCCCTTAGCATCTGAGCTGTGCTGCAATGATGGCGGTTGTCCACCAGGTGGTGCCAACAATTTGTTTGATTGTTTCCAGTTGACACCGGGAACAAAACTTGTGTGAACCCGGGCTCTGTGGCAGCTGTGACCTTAGTTCTGGGTCCCCGACTTCCTCTGTACCCACCCTCTTGGTGCTGATGTCTGTGCTCTTGGCTGACTTCTTTCCACGGGAAGCGTCTTGAGAACAGACGCCCGCATCGTTTATGCCAAAGCTTATTCCTTCCGGATCCTCTGAGCTGCGTGGTTAATCAGGGTCTGGGAGCCAGTTGTGGATCTTTGTAGAGTCCACCCACCTCCAGTGTCTTTCTTGCCTTGGAGAGCTGATTCGCTTCCCCAGATAGCTGATGCGTCGTGGTAGGCCTGGAGGTTGGCATTTTGTGCCCGGGGACCATGCGGACTCACGCACTGTGGTCAGAACCCAGTCTCTTCCTCCAACTTCAGAGTCGTCCCGAGACATCTTTCCTGTGTGCAGGGCTTCCCCCCGCCCCACAACTGCACTCGGTAACGGCACTCATGACCCCCTCTGGGTGTGTCAGGCAGCCAGTGGCTGTGGAGTTCCGAGGTCCTCTGCTTTGCTTGGAGGAGCCTGGGGAAAAGCAGGAAGGATGCTCGATCGCATCCCTCTCCTGCGGGGAAATGCTGCTCCTCCAGGGAAGTCCTGGGCAGGAGGGAAGCTCCTCCTCCATGCTGTTCTCTGTGGTCTCGTCTTACTGGCAGACCATTAAGGAAATGGATACTCAGGTTTTGGTTTTTTTCTTTTTTCTTTTTTCTTTTTCAGAAAACAGCTAGGGCTTTCAAGCCGGTTGGAAGGGAATTTAGAAAGGCTTCCTCATACCGTTATTTCATTACAACAGCCAACCTCCAGAGGGGACCGGCTTGTTTTCAGACCGGACTCTCACTTGCTTGTCGTGCCAGTATGCCTCCCAAATGTTAGGTTGGAGAGCAGATACAGGAGCTGTCTGTTGGAGCGCAGGCTGAAGGTCATGCGGAACGCCCTCTTAGTATTCTAGCAAGCAGCCTGGTTCGTTTGCTTAATTTCATTTGAAAAATGAGCGATGCCGGGGCAATACTGGAGACAATAATGCCGATGTCATGTGTCTGGCTGCTTCCTCGAAGACGATTTGTTTAACTCTCCGGTGAATTCGATAAACCAAAGCCATGTTTTCATTCCTAGAGCAGGGAGTTCCCCAGCCGGCAGTTTTGACCTTTGAGTGTTTAGAGCATCACATGATCAGATCATGAAACGAAAAGAAGACGACGGCTCCTTCTTGTCCACGAAACATATGTGCCCAGCACATTAAAAATCACGGCATCCCTTTGTTCTTAACATCCTGAAAACAGGGCAGAATGTGAGGTGGCATCATTTTAAAGAGTGATCAAATCAGCTTGCTAACTGTGATTCTGTATTTTGGTTTGTTACTACCGTTTAAAATTCATAACATTCATTGGGATGGGGTTGGGGTAGCTTAGAAGGCATTTCCAGAAACCTCTCTAAAGTTCTTGGGAAACATTTGGGAACTTGGGGCAAATTGGCACTGCTAACACGGCTGCTTTGTTCGTAGGTGATTGGCCAGGACAATGTGGCTGTCCCCTCGCATCTTTTCAAGGTGATCCTGGCTCGCAGAAGCCCACTGTCTGCAGAACCACTGGTGCTCGGGGCCTTCGTGGTCCCCAATGAAGCTATCGGCTTCCAGTCCCAGTTAAGCGAATTCCAAGTGAGCCTCCAGGACCTGGAGAAGTTGTCCGGGCTTGTGTTTTTCCCTCGTTTGGATAGAACTAGTGATATCAGGAACCTCTGCTCTGTGGACACCTGCAGGCTCCTGGACTTCCAGGAGTTCACGCTTTACCTGAGCACGCGGAAGCTCGAGGGAGCTCAGACCGTAGTCAGGCTGGAAGCCATCAGGGAGAATCTGAGGAACGCGGGCATTGAGCCTGATGATTACTTCCTGAAGCGCTATGAAAAGAAATTAGAAGAACTCAAAGCTAAGGAGCAGTCAGAAAAGCAGCCAGAAAACCCAGAGGAAAAGCCATCTTAGTCTTAGTCCCCGGAGCTGTGGGGCGCGGTGACAGCCACGTCCTGCGCAGGCTGGCCCTCTGCAAGGCACTCCCCCTGGACAGAGACGATGGGCTCCAAAGAGCAGAGACCTGCAGGGTGTGAGTGCGCTCACCCGCGTGGATGCTGTGCACATCTTGGGTCGAGTTGGCTAAGGGACTATGTCCACAGGGTGATCCTGTGCCCTTCTGTACATGGAGTGTGCAGACCATTATCTTCTCATGCTTCCAAATTGTGCAGAGGCCTGCATGGATCTGCTCAGCTTTCTTAGGACTCCATGTCCTATGGCTTCTTTGCCTGGACCTGAGTGGATTTTAGATAGCTTTTAGAAACCCTCTCCCGGTTTGGGTTTGTTTTTTTTTTTCCCTGTCCTCATAGATCATGCATTTCTGTTGTTTCTCTTCTCCCGGCCTTGCTGTTCCTCCACGTCTGTTGAATAGCAGCACTCCGCAGCCACATTTTCTGCTCACTTACTGCTGTGTTCTGGGAACCGAGGTCAGAGCTTTCCCTGTATCTCCAAACACCTCTCAGAGGTAAACGCTGTTCACCTCGTTTCACCCAGGAGAGGATGGACAGGCGCAGGGATCCAGGCTTTTGACCAAGATTCACCTTTCCAAAGAAGTAAGGAACACGTTTGGAGGCACTGAGGGCCGAGAGAGGAAAGAACGCCTGCAGCAGGTCCAAGTCGTCCCTGACACGGAGCCTTGGCAAAGAACTCTATGACCACGTGTGACTGTGAAGCTGCTTGGTCAGAGGCCTCCGATTATCTTGGCTGCCAGCCAGCCAGAGGCACTTTGTTTTTTATTTTGCCGTGCCAGGGTCGAACCCTGTGCCATATGCACACAGGATTAATGGCATGTGCTCTGCCACCGAGCCGCAGCCGTGGACGAGTGTCCTCTGTCTCACCCCCTCCTTCGTTCTCCATAAAGATACCGTCACCGAACTTTGAGAGCTGATGGGGGGGCTTTACCAGCGCCCCTGCTTGCCTGCAGGGGTGCACTTCCTGTATTGACGAGGCGAAGTAAATGACGTGTTCCTGACTTTCAGGCGAAATTGCGGTTCCGAGACCAGGGCCTCTGAGGAGGGCTCTGCCCAGATTCACTGGCTCAGGATCCTCGGCGTCGTGCCCACAGGTCTGCCTGGAGGGCGTCAGGCGAACTGTGCTTCGGGCCACAGAGCTGGGGATAGTTGTCTCTGAGGTATCCAGGGCTTCGGTTCTGGAGCCCAAGCTCGGTTGAGATTGGGGTTAACAAGAGCATCCTTTCATCCTTTCAAGGCCGGGAGGGGGGTGGGGGGGGTGTGTGTGGGGGGGGAATCTCTGAAAATAGCCCGGAGGAACTTGTCGGAATGCATCCTGCCAGCGCTGTCTCTCCGAGTGGTGTCGTGGGAAACATTTCCTTGGTGTTTTTGTATGTGTCTCTGGCAGAAATGCTGAGGCTTTCATATAAAAAGGTAAAGATGTTGACGAATTGACCTTGTTCTGCCTCTTTATTTGGGTAAAAAAAGAAAGAAGTGGGGGGTGAGAACATGGCAGCCTAATGAACATTTCATCACGCTGCTCCCCGCTAGCTGTGCCAGTCCTGTTTTCAGTGATAAAGAACCAGAATGTCACCGTGACCAGAGTATTTGTTCTTTTCCTTGTTGTTGGAGGTGATGGTGAGGCCTGAGCGTTCAGCCCTGCGCCTGAGGGGGAGGGTCTGTGGTACTGCAGCCCGTCTCAGTACCCCTCACCTTTCAGTCTGCACGGTTCCTTCGCACCCATCTCTCCAATATCCTGGGGCTTATTTCCCAGCCTCTCCTCCCGCCTCTTGACCCAAGTGGTAGAAAATCTGAGTTTTTCTTTTTTTTTTTTGATCAATAAAGTACCTTGCATTTTTAGATCTGAGAAGTGCTGCCTGGCTATGGAAAAATAGAGACAACTGCCTGTAATTTAAAGTGCAGGACCAGGGAGGTGGCTCACAGGAGAGCATGTGCCTTGTGTGTGTGGGGGGGGTGGGGGTGGAAGAGGGTCCTGGCCTTGATCCCTGATACCACACTTTAGAAAAAAGCCATAAAAAAAAGAGAAAGAGAACCAACGTGATTTTTTTTTTAAATGCAATCACCCAGCCTTCACTTTTATTTGACAGGGTTTGGGGATTTACACCTGGCAGTTTTTTAGACTTACTCCTGATTCTGTGCTCTGGGTCACTCTTGGTGGTGCTCAGGGGACCATATGCAGTGCTGGGCGTCCAGCAGGGCTTAGCCAGATACAAGGTAAGTGCCTCATTCACTGTATGATCTCTCTGGCCACTGACCCCCCCCCCCCCGACCAGCCCCCCATCCTCACTTTTTAATAAGAATTTTATCTTCGGCGCTGTGATTTGCAATATTGATAATGGCAGGATTTTGTACGTAAAACATTGCAGCCCACAGACCCCACCAGTGTTCCCCATCCCGACCTATTCCCCCCAATTTTATATGTACCAGTTTGTTGTACACCACAGAGATGCTTGAACTGCTTTCTTTTTCTCCCTCCCTCCCTCCCTCCCTCCCTTCTTCCCTCCCTTCCTTCCTTCCTTCTCCCTTCCTCCTTTCCTTCCTTTTCCTTCCCTCCCGCCCTCCCACCCTCCCACCCTTCCTTCCTTCCTTCCTTCCTTCCTTCCTTCCTTCCTTCCTTCCTTCCTTCCTTCCCTCTCCCTCCTTTCCTTCCTTTTCCTCCCTCCCTCCCTCCCTCCCTCCCTTCCCTCCTTCCTTCCTTCTTTCTTTCTTTTATTCCTTGCTTTTTGAAAGATTAAATCAACATGAGATACATAGTTACAAAATCGAAAGATTAAATCAACATGAGATACACAGTTACAAATTTGTTCTTGATTGGGTTTTCCTCATATCATGTTCCAACACCTGCCCCTTCACGAGTACATTTCCCACCACCAATACCCCAGTTTCCCTCCTTCCACCCCGCCTCCATTGATACTTGAACTGTTGTTTCCCACATTTGGGCTTGGGGGCCTTGGGTAGAATGTAGACTGCCTTCAGTTCAGGCCTCCTCAGCCTGGTGGGAGCTGAAGGCTGCAACTCGATGCCACCCAGCCCAGATCTCTCCCCAACATCTGTGGGTCCCGATAAAAGAAGCCTGAGCACTGTCCCAGTGGGTCCTCCCCAGGTTCAATCAAATTCTCTGGACAACCCTGTAACTCTGCTTTCTCTTCAGGCCATGGCCAGAGTCCCGGTGTGAGGAGGAAAGCGGAATCTGGGCGGTCCTCATCTTCGCTGTGTTCTGAAACTCAAGGTACCAGTCCTGTGTAGGCCGAGGTCAGTGAGTGTGCCAGTGCCAGGAACACCTGCTGCCTTTCCACCCCAGTGCTGCACACAGTGTCTCCAGCCCTCGGAATAGTACTAGCAGGAGAGAAGCAGTCTTCTCTCCGAGTGATTTCCTGGTCAGAGCTCGGCTCCGGGTCTGACCCGGAGGCCTCCCATGTCACCTGGATTCCCTGCCTGCCTGCCCTGGCTTCAGTCTGTACCTGGTGTTGATGCAGGGTCATAGAAATCAGACTTCCCGGTAGTCGCTCATCCTTGATGCTCTGCATCCCAAGTGCCTGCTCACTTATCCCCACCCCCTCACCTGTGCCCTTCCCTTTCCAGAAGCACACCTGTCCGTTAGGGAGGAACTGGTCAGGGGCACTGCATCCACAGGAGCCTGAAGCTGCCCCTGCTGTCTCCAGACCCAGCGTCAGGCAGGCTGGCCTTGCTGGTCATCATCTTCCCTGGCCATTTTGGGGGCCTCAGAGCTTCTCAGCCTCAGGACAGACTGCAAGGGTTTGAGTGGTGGTGAGGGGGCCTCTCCCTCACCAATATTGCCTGGGAGCTACTCATCCCTGAGTGCCCAGAACCTCTAGGGGTCACTGTTCACCTAACGTCACTCAATGACTCCAACTGTGATCTGGCCCCAACACCACCAGCCAAGGAAACCCCTGTCAGCCCACAAATAGCAGATCCCCTGCCCCTGGTTCCAGGCTAGACAGAGCCACAGCGGTGAGCTTGCATGGAGTTCACTAGGTGCCTAATTGCCCCTGAATCTTTAAAAGCAAGTCTACAGAAACCTTTAGCGTATGAGGAGCAACCTCTCCCTCAATTTTTGTTAATTGCTTTTATTTTTTCTCTTGAATCATTTAAAAGTCACTTTTTAAATAGTCATGTAACTTGTGTAATTTGACCTATACCACTAAGAATAATTCCTCTAGATCACTCATACTTTCATCACTTCAAAGAAGAGCATCAAAGCTTCAATTTAACAAGTGATCATGAATTTTTCCCAGGTGTTTCCATATATCAAATACTTTTTAAAAACTGAATTTCATTTAGAGTTTCAATATTATGCCTATCACTATCACTATCACCCCGTTGTTCATCGATTTGCTCAGGCGGGTGCCAGTAACATCTCCATTCATCCCTGTCATGTGCTAGTGTAGCCCAATGGGATATTAGGGGCTCTTTCAGGGTCAGGGGAATGAGGACTATCATTGTTACTGTTTTTGGCATATTAAGTACGCCACGGGTAGCTTGCCAGGCTCTGCCATGCAGGTGAGATACTCTCGATAGCTTGCCGGGCTCTCCGAGAGGGATGGAGACTTTTGGGGCAGCCTCTAATCACCTTTACATCAGGCATATATGCAGGCAAGATACTCTCGGTAGCCTGCCGGTTTCTCTGAGAGTGAGAACTAGACAATAAGAGGTCGCCTAGTATTATGTCTAGTCTTTCTTTAAAACATTCTGCCTGATACAATTTTTAAACTCAGTCGGAGCCAGGCCTAAGTTTTTTTTTTTGTGGTTGTTCTGGGGCCCCTCCCGGCTGTGCTCATGGGCTGCTCCTTGTGTGTGGCTCAGGGGTCACTCCTGGCAGTGCTCAGGACACCATGCAGTGCCTGGTTCAAACCTGGGCCTCATGCATAGAAACCGTGTGCACTGCTCCTCTGAGCATCTCCCCAACCCTAGATTATTAAGCAACGTTGACCAGGATTTGATTTTGAGCCAGATTAGAACTTGCCCCCAGACTGGAGTTACTTAGCAAGTAGGTGCTCATGG